GAATGAATCATTTTATATTCAATACATAATTAGTACATGAGGAGTTTTTATATTTTATATGTTAAAGTTTATTCAACTTTGATTTTTATACCTTATAAAAGTGTATTTGATTTATAATATTTATATACATTTTAAATGAGAGTGGAAGACTTGATAAATGTTTTTTTTATGAACGTGACAATCTTGGAGCCTTTCAACTCTCCAATTGGCCAGAAGTTTTTTAGTCTCTATTACTTTAAGATGCTTTTACTGATATTTTATTGGATTGTTATTATTTTGTAATACTTTATTTGTACTATTTATATTCTGCTCTAACTAAGTGTTTTGGTCTAACTACATCCTGATCATGTTTAAATATTAAAAAATTCCCATTCTCTACGTATATGACGTGTTTACTGTTCTTTGTTGTTTTTTTGTCTAATTTTGTGTTCCTTTCCTATTTAATTTTTTAAGAAATATTGTTCTTTTATATACGTTTGTCTAATTATCTCTAAAGTATTTATGATTCCATTATATACTTTGTTTATATTTGGAAGTCTATTCCATGAAAATTTTTGGAAGCATTGAGAAATTGCAATGTAAAAAAAAATAAAATAAAATAAAATAAAAAATACTGAGAAATTAAGAAATTCTCTAGAGTTACATTTAGAATAAAACGGCATTTAGTTCAACTAGTTTAATATATACTTTATCTGTAATATGTGTATTACATATACATATATATGTGTATATATATCATTAGAAACCAATTTCTATTTACTTATATCGATTTTTTTTTTTTTTTTAAAAAAAAAAAAAAGCATGGATAGGATCTTCAATTGAAAAAATATTAGATCATCTCAATACATCATATTCATCAAATAAAAACTCACGTTAATTTCACTTCTTTAGTCATTTATATTACTGAAAGTCACAATTTTTTTTTAAAAAGTATCATAAACTAAAACTCTTCTTAAATGTGAAATTTTTTTTCTTTTTTACTCTTCAAGCAGCGTAAAAGTTATTTTCTAAATTCTTTCATAAGTAGAGAAGCTTTACAATCCTTGACTAAAAGTCAATCTCTTTAAATAATAAATTATTAATATTAAATAATAAATTAATAAATATATGTCTAATTCAAAAATTAAAAGTTGTGTTTATTCAACCGCATTGGAATAAAAAGCTCATAACATTCTTGTATATAAAGTTATTCAATTTTACTGAAATTGATATAATTAAACATCTTTTAAAGAAACCAGATGATGGCTGAAAGTTACAAATTTCATTTATAAATAAATCTCTCCTGACGAATTTTAGTTATCTCTGAATTTCTGGTATATATTAATTCCATGTATTGAAATCTATTCATATGAAAAAGTATGAATTTGAATTTATTTAGAGTGTTGGAAGAATTTATTGGATAAAAATGAAAGTGTCATGAAGGTGAGAGTGAAACACATAAATGTTATACTTCTTTTCTGAATTTAGAAATTAGAGAGACACACTTATAAGTATTATACAGAGTGAAATAGGTAAGTGTTATAATCCTTTTTCGAATTTAGAAACGTTTATTGTGCGTAGATAGACACACTTTTAACAGTAAACACTTGTAGAAAAATTAGACTGTTCATAATTATAGATTTTATTTATTAATATATCATAATACTTACTCTATATCATAATAATTATGTGTGAACAACTTTAAGGTCTCTATATAATATACTATCATGTATATTATATTCTATTAAGTCATACATAACAAAAATAATAATAAAAAATCGATATAAGACGGGCATATATAATTATTTAATTTTTATTGCATGTTTTTAAACCTATTTATAAAAAAATGTAATGTGTTATATGTAGTATTTATAAACGTAATGTTATATTCTAATACATCCTATGATTTGATATAATAAATCTCTTGTACAATTGATTCAATAGTCTTTTACATTGCTTTGCAAAATAAAATTATATTCTTTAATTGTTCGGCTATAAATACCACAAGAATATTAGGATTTGCATAAGATTTTAGATAAAGAGACTTTGAAGATGATAAAAGTCTTATATATATTTGAAATTAATAGTCAAATAGTTATTCGGATGATAAATAATAACTTAAAGTTTTGAATTTATTTTGCTCTAAATTTATAAATACATAAACTAAATTAATTTAACACAAGTTACTTTAATTTCATTTTAGATTTTATTTCTCTATTTAATTTTCAAATTATTTTTACATATCATTTAAATTATTTTACTATCTCAAAATATTGCTAAATTCAAATTCAATCACATGCATCGCACATGATTCTACCCCCCGCGCGCGCGCGCGCGGGGGGGGGGGGGGGGGGGGGGGGGGCATGTGTTACCAGACACTGCTGACAAAATCTGAAGAGTCAAGACCAATGAGTAAGTGGTATCTTCTTGGAACAGTCCCAGACCAGTTTACTTTGACTTGTAATGTTTAAGAAAGACTTCCACGCAGAGCAATCATCAAAAACAGTAAGGTTCAATTTGTCCGTCTCAATATAATAAGTCCATTTCCGTCTATTAAAAATTGATTCTGTTTGGAATTAAATACTGTATATAATAAGTCTAATATTAAAAAAAAAAAAAAAAAAAAAAATGTTTTGTTAACCTAATACATGGAGCTTAGACCGCGTTAGTTGCTATAGGCTTGACCGATTCAAAGAGTCCACACAAAACGCATGAATCTGGACATATATGCCTCTATGTGCATTTCTTTTCATTATGCCTGTAAATGCATTGTCTTTTATCTTTTGACTAAGCCCATGGAAGAGCTAATAGGCAAGGGCCAATATAACTTCACCATGATAATTTAGTCTACTGCCATGTCACACATCTAGCGTTGTTTTTTTTTTAGCAGTACTTTCCCATCTTGCAAGGTTCAGACTTCCAACCACAAGAGTATTACACCTTTTTTTTTCCGATAATTGGGATGTTCGGAGTTTTTACACCGATTAATTTTCGAGACTGTGTAAGGCGTTCAACCCCTACGCGGATTGAGTAAAGCTCGAACTATGTCCACGAGTGTGGCCCCTAAGGAATTTTTTAGACCTAAAAGGAATTAATCATGAGATATGATACTTTGTGCTACACCAGAATCTAAATCTTTTCCAACTAAGTCATCCCCTATGGGTTATGTACATCACATAGTTGGGATCTAAATAATCCATAAAAATTAAAGAGTAAGTCAAGTGCTAACACATATGCTATCTAGGGATGGCAACGAGGTGGAGATAGGTAAACCCTACTCCACTCCATTAGAAAAACTGTCATATCAACTCCACCCCTATTCCGAGACCGGTTTGTAATTGATATACCATCGCTCCTACTCCGGCAGACAAAGTACCAAGTTCACCCCGCGTACTCTGTTTAATTACGATGTGGGGCGAGTTATGCCATACAGTATAAAAAATAAATAAACAAACAAACAAACAAACTAGCCCAATGTGTTGGCTGTGGTTTTTTCATTTGTGAACTGAAGAGTGAAGAGAAAGTAAAGTTGATTCCTTGGCCAGAAGGGCTTGGGTCCTTGAATGGCTTAATCGTTGATTGATTCCTTACTAAGTACCAAGGGCATAGCTAGGGGTGGGCGCAAGCCCACTCCTAAATTTTTTTTTATTATTATTATTTTATATTATAGTCAATTTTAGCCCCGCCCCAAAATAAATAAATAAATATTACTATTTTTAGTCTACCCAATTGACAATTCCTAAATCCGCCTTTGCTAAGTACCAAATATTACTAGTAATATATTAATCCACACACACACACACACACATATATATATATATTAATGGTACATATATAATCGGGGAGGGGGTGGGGCGGGTTCATCATTAAATCCGCCCCCACTCCAAACCCGCTTCAGGTTTTCAATTATTTTACCATATCCACCGCAAATCCATATAGGGAGTTACTAAATTCGCCCCATTGGGACAGGGCGGGGCGGAAACCCGCTGGACCGGAAGAAATTGTCATCCCTAATGCTATCAATCACTGCATCGGGAAGCACATTCACAGTTTTGAACTCAAGCTATCTGCATCCCATCTTGCGTAGGGATTTGATCCTATGGGCCCTGAATGCGGCTTGCATGGAGTCCAAAATGAAGCTTGAGTATGGCTCTATGCTTGTGTACCAAAATGGTACGTTAACACTAAAAGTCTAGAACCTTGTAATGGGTGACAAAACACACAAAATCTCCTCCAGCACAAAAGGGGATCCTCTTTCCACGAGCTTCATTTTAGTGCAAAGGCACCAAATCCCCTCCCACATAGAAGGAATCCTCCTTTCCCCAGGCTAACAAGTGAGGGGTGAGGGCATGAATTAATTAGAGCGCCCTTGTGACATATCTTTTTTCTTTTAAAAGAAAAAAAAAAAATTTGAGACGCATGTCATAACCGATCATTATTTTGACAGCCTTTTAAATTAAGGTATTTGTGTATAATGGGTAAATACAAGGATACCCTGAGCATTTCTTGGAGCCCAAAGGGCTAGAAGGAACCAAAAAAGGCCCACACAACCAACAAAGGGAACCAAACTCCAAAGACTTGCAACTACAATGCCCATATTCCAGACTCTGGAGCCCAAAGGGCCAGGAAGAACCATTATTGTTGTGAATTTGGATTTCAAAATATTAATATTTCTGTAAAAAAAAAAAAAAAAAAAGGGAGGAATCATGAAATCTAACCGAACTAAACCGTGTTTCACAGTTTGATTTGGTTTGATTCTTTTGATAAAATGATTCAGTTTGGTTCTAATTTTTTTAAAACCATCATAAATAATTTGATTTTAAAAAAAAATCCGAAACCAGTTCAAAGTGAACCCCTAATTATAAGAAAAAGACCAATTCCATTGTTTAGTTATTACGGATCATTATTATGATTATTTTCTCATATGATTGGTAGACCACATAAACGTGGAGAAGAGAGAGGGTGGTGGGGGCCATAAAAAGAATATGTGGATAAGGAGAAATATATATGGGTGTCATCAGCCCTTTATCCACTCTTTGGAGACTCAAGTTTCTCAAGAACCAAACACAATTTATGCTGAATAGTTGCTGAAATAAAGTAGGAGAATTTACAAGTTCCTGGTGGTAGAGAAATGGCTAAGCTCTTTCTCTGTTGCGACTGGAAAATTTTGCCAGAATTACCAGTTCATGCTCACTTCAATACTACGTGTACAATTGGTGAACACAAAAGAGGGAGCACATTAATACCATTCGCCGCCAACTCTTTCTCCCTTAATTCGGTATGTTCTCTTACTTTCTAACTCCTACATCCATATAGCACACAAATACAAATACATACATACATATATATATATATAGTGAAAGAGGGCAGACTTTGGTGCGTGAAAAATTCGTAATTGTGATATGAATGTCACGAGTTTGAAATTACAATGGTCTCTTCTCATGGGAGGTAAAAAAATATATTTTTATATTATTATACAAGTAAAAGATTAAATGATTATAAGAAAGAGCATTCAAGAAATGTTGAGAACATATAATGCATAAATAAATAAATAACTAAGGGAAAGTAGATAATTATATATATAAATATTCATTATAATAAGTCTAGCATGAATGTTTTGTTAATTGTGGGAGTCTCTCAGTCTCATATGCATACTTACGGTTTAATTAATTGTGGGAAATAAATGGATAAAATAGGATCACCAACAATTTTTATGTTGAAGTATAAGATTAAAAGGAGAACACTACAAATTACTTTACCAATTGTGCTCAATATATATATATATATATATATATGACAATGTCACTGAACCTACCAAGGTCATTGCTATTCTCATTGTCAATTCCCTAACCATTTTTAATCATTACAAAAAATTTATGCCATTGTAATTTGACAATTACAATGTTAATTTATATTGTATTGAATCATATGATCTGTAGATCGGAAAAAGGTGCCAAAAATGTGCAGGCAAAGGTGCTATAGAGTGTCCTGGATGTAAGGTACTGTCATTTAACTCAAATTTCTTATATATATCTATACTATTATTAAATGTGTAAAGTGTTTCAGTTTCAGTATTTCAGTATTTATTTATTTATATAAAAAATATTTATTAATTGATGTAAAAATAGTTTTTGTAAAAATAGTTTATATAAAACTTTAAAAATTACCTAATAAAATCAATCACATTCTATATAAAACTCTTATTTTTAGTTATTTTTTATGGATAATTATAGTTTTTATAAAACTTTAAAAATTACCTAATAAAATCAATCACATTCTATATAAAACTCTTATTTTTAGTTATTTTTTATAGATAATTATTACAATATAACCGGCCCGGCCCAATTATGATTATGTCATTATCAGAAAAGGACACATGTCATCATCCTATTCATCCAAGAAGTCTATAAATAGAGGCATGGAGGAAGGAGGAAGGGGTACAGAAATTGAGAATTCTAGAAATCCAGAATTCCAGAGTAAAATACAGAAACTGAGTTTTTTTATTTATATAAAAAATATTTATTAATTGAGTTGAATTTCAGAGTAAAATACAAAAGCTCTGTCAAAAGTTTTTAGTATTTATTTATTTATATAAAAAAATATTTATTAATTGATATAAAAAGAGTTTTTATCTATATTATTATTATTAGATGTGTAAAGAGTTTCATTATTTATTTATATAAAAAAATATTTATTGAATAATATGAAAAGAGTTTTAACCTATTTATCTATTTATTATTATCCATTTTTAATAAAAGAAAATCTAATTAGACAAGATTTATTAATATAAAAAATATTTATTAATTGATATATAAAATAAAATAATTTTTATAAAACAATACCACAAATTAGCTTTTATTATGAGTATCTTAATAAAATTAAAACTAATTAGACAAGTATATATTTAAAGAAAATAAAATAATTTCAATAAAACTCTATTACAAATTACCTATTTTATTATCAATATAGATATATTTAAAGAGTTTGTATAAAACTCTAACACAAATTACCAATTTATCAATTTATTATGAGTTTTTTAATAAAAGAAAACCTAATTAGACAAGTATTATTAATATAAAAAATTATTTATTAACTGATATAAAAGGAGGTTTTTAAAGAGTTTTTAAAACACAAATTACCTATTTATCTATTTATTTTGAGTTTTTTTTACTAAAAGTAAATCTAATTAGACAAGAATTATTAAAATAAAAAATATTTATTAATTGATATAAAAAGAGTTTTTAAAAGAGTTTATATTAAACTCTAACACAAATTACCTATTTATTTATTTATTACAAGTTTTTTAACAAAAGAAAATCTAATTTACCTAATAAAACCAATCACATTTTATCTAAAACTCTTATTTTTAGTTTTTTTTTATGGATAATTATAATTTTTATAAAAATCTAAAAATTACCTAATAAAATCAATCATATTCTATATAAAACTCTTATTTTTAGTTATTTTTTATGGATAATTATCACAATATAACCGGCCCGGCCCAGTTATGATTATGTCATTATCAGAAAAGGACATATGTCATTATCCTATTCATCCAAGAAGCCTATAAATAGAGGCATAGAGGAAGGAGGAAGAGGTACAGAAATTGAGAATTTTAGAAATCTAGAATTCCAGAGTAAAATACAGAAGTTCTGCCAAAAAGTTTCAGTATTTATTTATTTATATAAATAAATATTTATTAATTGATATAAAAAGAGTTAAATTCCACAGAAAAATACAGAAACTCTGTCAAAGAGTTTGAGTATTTAAATATTTATTTATTTATGTAAAAAAATATTTATTAATTGATATAAAAAGAGTTTTTATCTATACTATTATTAGATGTGTAAAGAGTTTCAGTATTTATTTATTTATGTAAAAAAATATTTATTAAATAATATGATAAAACACTAAATTCTACATAATAAAATTTAAATTAACCTATTTATCTATTTATTATTATCAATTTTTTAAAAAAATAAATCTAATTAGACAAGAATTATTAATATAAAAAATATTTATTAATTGATATATAAAAGAAAATAATTTTTATATAACTCTACTATGAGTTTCTTAATAAAATTAAATCTAATTAGACAAGTATATATTTAAAGAAAATAAAATAATTTCTATAAAACTCTATTACAAATTACTTATTTTATTTTCCATAAAACACTACCAACAGAGTTTCTATAAAACTCTAACACAAATTACCTGTTTATCTATTTATTATAAGTTTTTTAATAAAAAGAAACCTAATTAAACAAGTATTATTAATATAAAAAATTATTTATTAACTGATACAAAAAGAGGTTTTAAAAGAGTTTTTAAAAAACTTTAACACAAATTACCTATTTATCTATTTATTATTAATTTTTTAATGAAACTAAATGTAATTAGACAATAATTATTAAAATAAAAAATAATTATCAATTGATATAAAAAGAGTTTTTAAAAGAGTTTATATTAAACTCTAACACAAACTACCTATTTATTTATTATAACTTTTTTAATAAAAGAAAATCTAAGTAGACAAGAATTATTAATATAAAAATTATTTTAATTGATATAAAAAATAAAATAATTTTTCTAAAATTCTACCACAAATTACCTTTTATTATGAGTTTTTTTTTTAATCTAATTAGAAAGGAATTATTAAAATATAAAAATATTTATTAATTCATGTAAAAAGAGTTTAAAAATATTTTCTATAATACTCTAACATGTATTACAAATTACAAATTTTTAATAAAAGAAAATCTAATTTTCAGAGTAAAATACAGAAATTCTACCAAAGTGTTTCAGTATTTATTTAATTATATAAAAAAATATTTATTAATTAATATAAAAAAAGATTTTATCTATGCTACTATTAAATGTGCAAAGAGTTTCAATATTTAAGTATCTATTTATAAAAATATATATATATATTAGTTGATATGAAAAGTATTTCAAAAAAAAAAAAAAAAAATTCTATCAAACTCGAAAATCTATCTAATAAAATTTAAATTAAATTATTTATCTATTTATTATTATGAATTTTTTAATAAAAGAAAATTGAATTAGACAAGAATTATTAACATAAAAAATACTTATTAATTGATTTATAAAATAAAATAATTTTTCTAAAACTCTACCACAAATTAACTTTTATTATGAGTTTCTTAATAAAATTAAATTTAATTACACAATGATATATTTAAAGAAAATAAAATATTAAATGTGCAAAGAGTTTCAGTATTTATTTATTTATATAAAAATATATTTATTAATTTATATGAATAGAGTTTTTATAAAAAAAAAAATAAATAAAAGAAAAAAAAAAAACTCTATAAAACTTTAAAATCTACCTAATAAAATTCAAATTAACCTATTTATCTATTTATTATTATGAATTTTTTAATAAAAGTAAATCTAAAGTTTCAGTATTTATTTATTTATTTAAAAAATATTTATTAAATGTGCAAAGAGTTTCAGTATTTTAGTATTTATTTATTTATATAATAAAATATTTATTAATTGATATGAAAACTGTTTTTATAGAAAAAAAACTTCTATAAAACTCTAAATTTACCTAATAAAATTCAAATTAACCTATTTATTATTATGAATTTTTTTATAAAAGAAAACCTAATTTTATGAGTAAATACAGAAGTTGTGCCACGGTGTTTAAGTATTTATTTATTTATATAACAAAATATTTATTAATTGATATAAAAAAAAGTTTTTAATAATAGTATTATTACATGTGCAAAGAGTTTCAGTATTTAACTATCTATTTTTATAAAAAAAAATATTTATTAATTGATATGCAAAGAGTTTTTAGAAAAAAAAAAAAAAAAAAAAAATGTCAATCAAACCCTAAAATCTATCTAATAAAATTTAAGTTAATCTATTTATTATTATGAATTTTTAAATAAAAGAAAACCTAATTAGACTAGAATTGTTAATGTAAAAAATATTTATTAATTGATATAAAAAATAAAATAATTTTTTCTAAAACCCTACCACAAATTAACTTTTATTATGAGTTTCTTAATAAAATTAAATCTAATTAAACAAAGATATATTTAAAGAAAATAAAATAATTTTTATAAAACTCTATCACAAATCACAAATTTTATTTTCAATAAAACACTATCATAGTAGACAAAGATATAGTATTAAAGAGTTTCTATAAAATTTTAACTCAAATTTTCTATTTATATATATATTAATTATTTTTTAATAAAAGGAGATCTAATTAGACAAGTATTATTAATATAAATAATTATTTATTAATTTATCTAAAAAGAGTTTTTAAAAAAGTTTCTATAAAACTATATCACAAATTACCTATGCATCTATTTATTATGAGTTTTTTTAATAAAATAAAATCTAATTAGACAAGCATTATTAAGATTAAAAAATATTTATTAATTAATATAAAAATAGGTTTGAAAAGAATTTCTATAAAACTCTAACACAAATTACCTATTTATTTATTTATTATGAGTTTTTTTAATAAAAGGAAATATAATTAGACAAGAATTATTAATATAAAAAAATATTTATTAATTGATATAAAAAGTATTTTTTAAAGAATTTCTATTAAACTGTAACACAAATTACCTATTTATTTATTTATTATAAATAGATTTCCAGAAATATAGTATTTTCTATAAAACTTTACCACAAATTATCTATTTTATTTTCTTTAAAATTCTATCACATATAACTTGTTTTTATCTATTTATTGTGAGTTTTTTGGTGAAGGAAATCTAATTAGACAACGATATATTTAAAAAAAATAAAATATATTTTTAAAAGAGTTTATATAAACTTTTAATAAAAATTACCTATTTATGTATTTAATATGAATTTTTTAATAAAATATAATATAACTAGACAAGAATTATTAATATAAAAAATATTTAATAATTGGTATAAAAAATAATATAATTTTTCTAAAGCTCTACCACAAATTATGTTTTATTATGAGTTTTTTAATATTAAAAAAAAATCTAATTAGACAAAAATATATATATTTAAAGAAAATAAATAATTTATATAAAATTTTACCGCAAATTATCTATTTTATTTACAATGAAACTCTATCACATTAGATAAAGATATATTTAAATAGTTTTTACAAAACTCTAACACAAATTACCAAAACTTTACCACAAATTAAGTATTTTATTTTCTTTAAAACTCTATCGCATGTAATCTGTATTTATCTATTTATTATAAGTTTTCTAATAAAATAAAATCTAATTAAATTAGGATATATTTAAAGAAAATAAAACAATTTCTATCACTCTATCACATTAGACAAGGATATATTTAAAGAAAATATATAATAATATAATAATACATATAAATAAAATATAAATGTTAAAGAATTTGAACATTTCAGTATTTATTTTTTAATATAAAAAATATTTATTAATTAATACAAAAAGAGAACTTTATCACATATAAGTATATAACCCTTGTATTTATCTATTTTTTGTGAGTTTTTTAATAATAAAAAAATCTAATTTTACAAAGATATATCTAAATAAAATAAAATAATTTCTATAAAATTCTATCACAAATTACATATTTAAAGAAAATAAAATATAACCTAGGGTCTTCCAAAAACCACAAACTCCATATAATTAATTTTTATATCAATTTCAATCTAATGTATAATTAGTATAATTGAATTTCTATTTTAAAATTTAATTAAAAATTAATATAATTGAATTTCTATTGTAAATTAAAAATTATACTAAATTTCAAATTATCTAATAAAATTCAAATCACAAATTACCTAATAAAATTCAAATTACTTAAAAAAATTTGTTACTTTGCAAAACTCAAATATTTCACTATTAAAATAAAAAATTATTATTTAATAAAAAATAAAATATACATATTTCAGGATTAATATAAAAATATAAAAGAATTTATTAATTTACGAAACTTAAACTCTATCACCAATTTCAAAATATTTCAGTATTTATTTATTAATATAAAATAAATTTTTATTAATCAATATGAAGACAAAAATTTTATAAGTTACAAAATATTCACCATGTGCATCGCACGTGCCTTTTCCTAGTATATATATATATATATGTCTTGCAAATAAAAAATAGTATATATATATATGGATTATATACATATAACTTACTAATATATATATATATATATATATATATATATATATATATATATATATATATATTTATGCATGTTTTTGTTCACTCAGGGAACAGGAAAGAATAAGAAGAATGGGAACATCTTCGAGCGTTGGAAGTAAGTTAATTTTTCCCTGCTTTTTAAAAGGAATTGTTACAATTAATCATGAACAAATTAAAAAATATATTTATGGTTTGGATTTTTTCCCTCTAATTTATATTTTAATGTGAATTATCTTTAGATGCTTTGATTGCCAAGGATTTGGATTAAAGAGTTGTCCCAGTTGTGGAAAGGGAGGACTAACTCCAGAACAGAGAGGAGAAAGATAATCTGCTCATGTGTTTGAAATTATATATATATGTATGTATGTATGTATTTACATATAGATATATAACTTTATGTAAATCTCTAATTTGCAAGGTTCAGCAAGTCAAATAATGTTTGCAAATATTGCTAACACATTGCACGCTGTAATATATAATGGAATATTAGTGTACTCTGTGCATAAATACAGGCAAATGAGATCCACTATGTTTAATTTGCTATAGTAATATCTTTCTTTTCTTTTTTTTCATTTTTTTTTTTTTGGCTTGCTTATATATGTTCCATCGCCATTCACCAAAAATTTATATGAAATTCAAAAAAATCTAAATGGTGAATTTCACCATTATTATTGGTGAATAAAAAAAGGTGAAATTCTTTATCATTGGAAGTGACAAAATTTTAATTAAATGTGATAAAATTGCATCGCCATAAACAAGAAGGAAAAAAAAGGCACCCAGGAGAATTTGGGTTGTTAATGACTACAAAATTAATAAATGTCCAAGGCTCTGATTGTTTGCATCTAAAATGCTTTTTAAAAAAATATTTTTTTATTTTTTGGTGTTTGATTACCGTAAAATATTTACGAAAAAAAAAATTAACAAAAATTACTTATTCATTAATTAGGGTGTGCTAAGGACTCGTGCAAGACCCTCCACCCAACACGGAATGAGTAAGCTTTGACTTTGTCAGTGGGCTTGATCCCTAAGGAATTGTTTGAACTTAGAAATAATCGAATCTGAGACCTAATATTTCACGAAGAACCCCAAATTTTTTCTAACTAGTTCAACCCTTACGTAATTTAAGAGTTATTGTGGATGGGAATTAGATTTGGGCATCTTCAATCCAAAGTTCTTTAGGAAAAATAAAATAAATAAAAAAATAAATTAATGACTACGAAATTAATAAATGTCTAAGGCTCTGATTATTTGGATGTAAAATATTTTTTTATTTTTTGGTGTTTGATTGTCGTAAAATATTTACGAAAAAAAAAAAGAATACCTTAACAAAAAATTATTTATTCATTAATCAGGGTGTCCTAAGGACTCATGCAAGGCCCTCCCCCCAACACGGAATGAGTAAGCTTGGACTATATGGCTTGGTCCCTGAGAAATTATTTGCACTTAGAAAGAATTGAACCTGAAACTTGATATTTCATGATGCACTTCAAAATTTTTCCAGCTAGTTCAACCCTTACGGTTATTTTAGAGTTATTGTGGATGGGAATTAGATTTGGGCATCTTAATCCAAAGTTCTTTAGGAAAAAAAAATTATAATAATAAATAAATAAATTTATTTGAATGTGGACTTGTTAAAACATCCCACCAGTATTTACATATAAAACATCCCCTCTATATATGTTTTTCTCGAACTCCCATCAAATCTTCAATAAATACTTAAGGCCAAAGACCATTTCATAAGGAATATGTTAATGTACATGTGACCTTGGTACATATGACCTTTTTTTAACTCAGCGCTATCTTTCGAAGTTACAGGAGTTTAGAAAGTTTTCGGTCCATACAGGTTGTCATGTCATTTTCTGTTGGGCGTCTAAGTGGTGCTTACGAAAAATTCCCAATCCATGCAGGTTGCCATATCATCTCCTGTCGGGCATCTGCATGGCATAACCTCTGTTGGGAATCTGCATGGCATAACCGCTGGATGTGCTCCGCGAACGGCCAAAGTGCGTCGGTTGCCATGTCATCTCCTGTTGGGCGTCTGCGTGGCGTAATCTCTAGTTGCGGGGCTTGACAACTAGATCATTCTTTTTTCTTTTTTTTATATTATTTCATTTTTTTATTTTTATTTTTCTCATATATGTATCTTTTTATCAATTTTTTTTTTTAACATTCTTTTTATCAAACTGATCCCGCTAGTTGTGCAGAAAAAAGCTCTATATGGATGACTTGGCCCCTCCCTCTCTCTCTCTCCCCTCAAGAAATTTACTGCAATCTCTCTCTTTCTCCAGAAAGTAACCCTTCTGTAATTTGTGTCGCACGGGTACTAATAGAGCTTCCTTTCATTTGATATTTTCTTCTTTCCCTCGTTTTCATTTCAAGTTTCATGAATTGTGTTTCATTCATTTTTTGCTATGATTTTTCTCCTCATTTTTTATTTATTTATTTATTCATAATGTGTAAAAATGATCTGGTTTTAGCCACAAATGTTGTTTAAAACTTGCCAAATATTTGATTCATGTTGTATTTAAGCTTTACATCAATTATAAATTTATATAGGCATTCATTGGAATTGAATGATTCCATTATGTCTCACATGCTTTAGTCTGCCCGGAATGATGATATATGATCACATTTATTAGTTTTAGTATGATTTATTGGAAAAATGTTGTTCTACAGAAGAACTTTACATATGAAACACAATGCAGTCTATCAAATTTCATGATTCAATTGCTCACACACCCAACAATTCAATCTTTCTTAGCTTCTTGTGGAAATCAGATCTTTTCACCTAATCGTGTAACAAGAGTCATGTTTTTTTGTTTTTATTATTTTTTTTACAATCCTGGCAAATTAGGGAGAGGAAGAACTCAAACACGGGCACACCCATTCGGAGAGTTAGGCTTTTACCAACTAGGTCACTGAGTAATGCTCCAAGAGTCATGTAGATGACCATGCGAAGTTGGGACAAGGTTTCGTTGAATTAAATGTGTTTTAAATGTTTATTTTTTTTCTTTCTATTATTATTATTATTATTATTATATATATATATATATATATATATTTATATAAGCCAAACAAACGAACACACGCTCAACCTCTTATTTGAAGAGGTAACAACATATCTGTGTTAATGTCTATTGGTTGTTGGGTACAGACATCTCTATGGACCAAGAGATGTATGTGCACAGTAGATGTTTGACAATTTGCTTCGTAGCAAACAATGCTCTCTCCACAAAACATTAAGCTGCGCTTGTCAGACATTTTGTAGGTACTTGGCAAGGATTAGATTTTTATAACTTTTAAAATATTCTAGACTTGAGATGCCAACAGATTTAATTTTTAGTTTTTAGGAAGAATTGAGTTTCTTCCAGGTCACAATTATCCCTCCAAGTCACTCAAATTTTCTCTTGAGAGACTTAATTTAAGCTAAAAATAGGCCATGTGATCTTTTTGGCAAGGTGCATGAGTATGCCTTTAGCAAAAAAATTCGAAACTATTGCTGTCACAATCCATATAGATGTTGTCTGGTTTGGACTCTCTTGTTCACGGTTTTGTTCAAAACGCGTCTATATAGTTAAAGGATGTCCGCACATATAAATCTCAACAACTTATCCTCCAGACGATGTGAAACGTCACAATTGCAGTTTCAGTCTCGTAATATCACCACATCTCCTATATGGGACTTGCTTTTTGCCATTTCAATAAGATAATTGGTATAGACTAAATTAACACGAAAGAAAGATGACATTGTCATATTCTTAAAGTTTAATATTGACATTCTTTATTATTTTATTTTGTAATATAACAAGTGAAGACTATTGATTATGTTCAACTTATTTTCTTTGCTCTTTTAGGTTGCAGATTTGCAATGGAATCCTTTAAAGGACAAGGAGGCATTCAGATGCTACTATCTGCAGAACAGGAGGCCCAACAAATTGTGTCTGCTGCTAGAAACTGTAAAATCTAATCCATGTGTTTATTTTCTAAGGTTATAGCTATAAGTTGGTGTGGAAATTTTGACATTTTCGAGTTTGAAACAATCTGATAATAAAGGGTCGTTTGGTATGCATTTTGTTTTTGGTGTTTTTATTTTTGTTTTTTAGGGTACTGTAGCAGTGAACAATGAAGAAAACGCATTTAGTAAAAAGTTGTTTTATTTTACACTGACACGCTTCGTGAATTGTGACCAAAAACTGAAATACCAAACTGAAACGTTTGGTATTTTTATATGTTTTCACACCAAAGCGTTTTGATACTACTATAGTAATGAACAGTAAATTTTTTAAAAAAAACAACAACAACAACAACAACCTCTTAAATTACTTTTTTAAACTAATCATTATATTTTTCAAACTTGCAATATTTTTTACCAAATATGTGTCATGTTTTTGCTTTCAAAAATCTTACAACAAATAAATGCTTCCAAACATGCTACTGATTATTATTCAAAACACTTAAAAAAAAAGGTCAAAAACAAAACGTATACCAAACTAGCCCAAAGTTCCTTGTCATTATTGATCACAGACCGAGTTTTATTTCTATGTAGTATGTACTGTAATTTGTTTGTTTAAATCGGCCTATTCCTATTTTCTTTTTCATTTTTTTCACCTTACTAAAGTGGATTAATCATCTCGTAATCTTTTGTGCTTCAGTGAAGTTGACAAGGTTGAAACAGGCTAAAGAAGAAGCTGAGAGTGACGTGGCACTCTATCGTTCCAATTTGGAAGCTGAGCACCAAACGAGACTTTCCGATGTAATATTGTGTTTTTTTTTTTTTTTTTTTTTTCTCAACAGTTCAGCAAACGCACACATACAAACAATATTTCTCCCTAGCAGGCTCGAACTCTCAAACTCTTTCGAAATCGAAAGGAGAGAAATCATACCATCTCTGCTAATGTCCATCGGTAATAAAACCAACATCAACTAGCGCAATCATCATCACTGAATATTAATGCCATCATCGCTGTCATGATCTTCTTCTTGCTTTCCTTCTTGTCTCAAGTGATATTCAGAAGCTTATGGGAATTATTAGTTTTTCCATTTTCATTGTTCTTCATTTGTAGACAAGTGGGAGCTCTGGGTCAACTGAAAAAAGGCTTGAAGAGGAAACCGAAACGAGGATTCAGAACTTGAAGGAGACAACTTCGAAAGTATCCCCAGAAATCGTCGAGTTCCTCATGAAGCATGTCACAGCTGTGAACACTTGATGCATGAAGGTTAGTCGAATCATTTCATCTGTTGACACCGTGAACTCATTTTCCACCGTATTCCGGAATTTGTTTTGAAAATGTGTCACATTTCAGCATAAATTCATAATCTGCTAAAAACTAGAAGGTCTGTGATAATTTTTGAGTTGCTGAAAGTTACGTAAATCTGATATTACATTTGTAACTCTTTCTTGTATTCCAGTTACGGAGTATTGAGAAGACGAGAATATAAAGGATGGCCGGGAATAAAGAAAGAAGCAACGCAGAGCTACCGGAAAAATGAAATAAGTATTTTTTTTCTGTCTTTCATTGGATGCATTTTCTTGAAACACAACAAATATGTTTTCCACCTTGTTTCTAGGGGATGACCTATTTTGGGGCTGGAATTTTGTTCTCTTTTCCATTCATTATTTTATAACAGGAGTAACTTTAGAAGGTGTTTCGAATACAAAGAAATGTGTCTACTTTTGTTATTGTTGTCAATTACTGGTAGAGTCATGTTGGACCATTTTGCAGACAAGATTATACCTACCTAAACTTGGTGAATATAACCCACAAGGTAACCAAGTTGGCGTATATAGAGCTTGTACATATATATATAGGTCTCGTGTTCGACTCTCAAATGTTTTGAACCTTTGACCTAGTCACTCAAACTGTGGGGATGCGTGCAGGTATCCGAAGGTATTACTCCCTTTGCTAAGGAGGATGAGACACCCTTATTTAGGAGAGAGAGACTTCATGCGCCGGTCATACTACGTCATTCGTATCATCTACTAATTATATCTCGTCACATAAGTAAAAGTGCTCTATTTTAGTAAATCATATCACTATTTAAAAGTCTACAATACTCTAGGGTACTTACACATGGTACCGCACCCATAAACAGATATAGAAAGTGTCAATTTAAAGCATATCAAGACAAATTGAGAATTTTCATGCCCCCGATGGGGGTACCACATAATACAATATCCTTGGGATTGTAGACTTTCTCCTCTTTTAGATGCATAGCATATAATTAATGCATTTCTCTCTCTCTCTCTCTCTCTCCCCCCTATGACATTGTGATTCTATCCCTTTAATAAGATGTCCAAAACTAAGACGCACAGTTTTTCCCAATAAGTGTTACTCACATTGTCACTCGTCGCTCTCATACTCCGTGTACACGTTCACTTCCGTTGTGTGACTTAAATTTTATCACTTTCCCACTTCTGCTCTCATGCTCCCCTTTATGTGATTTAGGTCCAAAATTAATAATTAATTGAAAGTAGAAAAACCAGGCCACCAAAGAAAAGTTGAATTTTTGCTTAAAATGCAACTTGGAAATTGCTAGGAAGTTTCACGTGAGCGGACACTAGCTAAACGTGAAAGACGGTCTGGTGAGAAAGTGACATCTGCAGTTGAGAATTCTTGATTAAATTACCCAAATGTTTGATTCAATCAAATTATTTGAAAATTTTACGTTTACCTTTCTGATAAAACAATTTACTTAAAAATTTATAAAATTAAAAACAAGAGATATATATAAAAGAATGATCATTTGGTACTAACATCTGAATGGCCCATTTCATTCAAAAGATTCATTACTTTTATTTTTTTTATTTTTTAAACGGCGTGGATTCGTTGTTTATCCGTTTTGGACAGATAATAAATGGGCTGCAAGTTTGTGAATACTTTGGGTTGGGCTCGTCTAGGCTCGTATTCTTCAGGTCGACTTTCAACACTGGTTTTTAGTTTCTTAGGCCCAGCCTGGTTGGTAAGAAAAGGGCAAAAAAAATAAATAAATAAACAAAGAAATGGAGTGATGTGAGTTTTTGTATTTGGTATAAAATTTTGGAAGGAAAAGAAAGGGAACGGAAGGATTTAAGAGTAAATAAAAGGAAAGTTGGAAAGTAAATAAAAGGAAAGTTAGAATTTTTAATAAAACTTTGCTAATACCAAATTTTCCCTTATATTTATAAAAGATAAAATATATGAAAAAGATCATAGTAGTGAATTCATTAAAATTATTTTCTACTCCTTTCTTTCTCCAAACAGGATTACTATCATTCTTTCTTCTTTTTTTTTCTTACAAAATAATTGATTAACAATATTCTCTCATTTCCTTTAATTTTTAATTTTTATTTTTATTTTTGCCTTTTTTTTTTTTTCATTGTACCAGATGTATTTCAACTCAATTAAGTACTTATAAAACAAGTCGGAGAGAAAATATTGGGTGCCCCCGTGCACCATGCACCGGCGCATCCCGACCGTCCATGATGTACATGCACGGACGTCTCGGATGCATGCACCGGGCGCATTTCATCTATGTCTACCACAATTAGTTTGGATTGGAATTTATCCCAGTTGAGTACATATAATATACTTGTGGAGATGTGGACATGGCATGACAAAAATGTTCTAAAGTAAAAAATGATGTACCATAGAGTTGAAGGCAGGTAGGCTGACAATTGGTGTACAAATAATTTCACTCCATTCAACAACAGTAATTTCAATTTTCTGTGGTCAGCCACATGATTTTGTTCCAAAGTAAGTAAAGTAACTGTGTGGGACACACAATAATCGCACCCGACATAGGTAAGCAAGTCCATGTAAACATGGCTTGCTACCCTGCCTAATGAGAACTACCTTGTAAAACTACTCCTCTAACCCTCATGTTGAATTATATCCAACTGCCATGTCTAAGCATTAAACACATTATTAAAGCCTCTTAACATATATGCATATCTGAATTTCTAGGTTGACATACATTTGACTATTTTTTACTTTCCCAATAAAACAGCCCCACTGTCACTTTGTTCATGATGCATCTTGTTCTATTCATGATGCACTTTTTAATATTTAACCCTAATTTTTACTTTTTTATGGTAAGGATATCTCTCTGATTAAATGACTAAACAACTTAAGATGATGTATTAGATCATGCACATCCAAGTACAATTTCGCAGAAATACACACACACACATATATACACATAATTATGTTTTAGATATATCACAATGGACAGCATTAAGCAAATTTCCCCTTTCCATTTTATTGTTTTAGCTCAAGCAATCCAAAATAAAAAGGCAACAACGGAAAGGAAAAACATTCGCACCTTGGCCAATCTGCAACGCCATTTGCTTCAGTAGAAGTCATCTTTACAGTTTACACCCGCTCCCCTCAACTCCCCAAATATATTACACCATCACTTTAATGTCCCAACTGCAGTTCCATTAAGCAAACAGATCATCTTCCATAGTCCAGTAGAAAAGTTGCTCCTAGCCACATTGGATAGCACACCATAACTTCTACTGCTTGCTCAGAGAAAAGGACTTGAAATGACCACAATGCCACCTTTCCAATAGGCCAACAGCGCGCAATAAGAGTTCAAAAAAATTTTTTTTTTTTTTTTTTATTATGTGCTTTTCCCATCAGCCAGAGCAACTCCCATAGAATCATAGAAACATAGAAGATGAGATTCTCCACTAATTACTTACCAAAGAAAAGAAGAGATTCTCCACTAATTCCTGAAACTACTGTTTATGTTTAAGTCATTTGGCTAATATTTACCAACAGGCAGACTACGATTCTCAAAAGTATAAACAAACTTCACGTTCTCTTTCCTTTCATCTCTCTCCAAGTCTTTTTCTTTTTCTGCCACCTTAATACTGCCATTTTCTCAGATTTCCACTTCCGATATCTTTGCCGATCCTTCAACCAGCCAGAATAATCCTTCCCTTGCTTGCATTCAATGAAATCAGTTAAGTCGTCAATATCAGATGATTTTTTCGGGCACTCTAGTATGCAATTGAGAAAAATCTCCCCATTGCAAGTTTCCTCTGTTTCCTCCTCTATGCCAACAACACATTCCATGTGATTTGCAAATGAGGAATTTGCTGAAGTATTTGTTTGCCCATCTTCACTTTCTGCACAATCGATTGCAACAGGAGCCGCACTGCCAAAAAGTGTGTCAAAATAAGGCAAACAGAAGGAGATAACATGATGATAGCATTTTGGTAGAGAATTTAGGCAGCTGTCTCCTCAAGTTTTTAGTGGAACTCTTGTATAATTTAACAGAAGCAAGAGAATATGGCAACACTCTCGCCACCTCAAAACTCCTTTTTTTTTTTTTTCAAACACTAAGATTAAAAAGGAAAAGTGTATGATAGCCAGCCTAGTTTTGTAGAAACATAATCCTCAAAGTTGTCCCTTTATTGGAAAATTAACACCTTCTCTAACAAGACAAATTATTCCTTGCTCCAAATACTAGCTATAATCATGTTTAGATATCCAGCACATTCAATTTTCCCCCTTTTACCCCATACAATACGTATTCCCCTTCAAGAAGAGTGACATGATAAACAAAATTTTCCCCCTTTACCCAACACATTAGGGGCATCCAAACATATAAGTGCCAGCAACTTCTCCCCCCAGGCAATGTTGGACGTCAGAATCACCCCCTCTAGGGACTCAACATCCTCACTGGCCTGCTCATTGTATTTAAATGCATTCCTCGTGTTGGAGAGAAAATACACTACAAGGTTCTCGTGTGATTTCATGGTTTAATGCAGCACATTTTTCAGCATAAGACCATATTAGCATGTTCATTCAACAAACACGAATGATCGTACACATTTTTCATTGAAGTTGCAGGAAGCATCACACAAGTCCAAGGGCTATTATCTGTATTGCATACAAACTTATTGTACAAAAAAAATCCATTTTTCTTTCGGGTCTTGAAACAAACAGCACTTAAACAGAAAACACTTTTGGTATGTTTACTCTACAAGAACAGTGTGCCCTACAAATTGAATAGGAATATAATTTGCAGCAAGAATCCCAGTCTTCCTTGTACATACAAAAGGTGATTTAGTCCAAACTACGGTGCTATTATTCATAAATTGCAAAAATTAGGAAGACAAAACTTGGATAATTGCCAAATTTCAAGGATTAAAATAAACGATGTGATCCAAGTTAAAAAGAATTCCTGAACTAGAAAGACAAAACTTGGATAAAAGCCAATTTTCAAGGTCTAGAACAAGCAACATAGTCAAGGCAAAAGCGACCATAAATGTCCTTTAAAGAAAATTTCTCCCTTTCCAACATCTGAGAGTAAAATGCATGGGAATATGGTACCAGCTTTTTTGAGGCATCAATCAACAGAAATTCAAAGATAAGTTGCACAGCAAACAAATATAAACATCACCAAGTCAATCACAAAAAAACCTTATTAGCAGCAGATAATATATAGAAACCTTATTGAATAATTAAACATTACATCACAAAAAGCAGATGACTAGGTTTATTCGTTGAAATATGACAATGCTTGACATATGAACACCATAGTATCATTCTTTAAATTGTAGTAAAAAATAGAACAGAAGTGAACATCCAATAAATCATACACTAAACAGACCACAAGCTTCCACATGACAATAATTGCCAATAAAATTTGAGTTCTTTTACATCGACTTCATATCATAATTACTATGTCTATATTAGAAAAAGCATAAGGAAATCCAAGGTAAAAGTTTCAGCAGAATATTGACAACGAACAGTTTACTCCTAATATTCAAACAAACAGATTATAATATGACATAAATTGAAGAGTTAGAGGCTCGCATGAATAACTTGTATTTTTCAGGCTAATATTAGCTTATATGATGTACACAATAATATCATGTACCTCAAGTACAATGTCTGGATTCTCTGGAATTTTGATGCAACTAATTGGCTAGATCTTTGATCCAACACAGCCTACAACAAAAGTCACAAATTTAAGAACATAAATCACATAAAAAAGGAATATATTTAGATAAGGTACAAAGGGGTTTAAAATACACCTCTGGGACATTATCAGTAGGTAATCCAATTGAAAAGGATTTTGATTTTGAAGCAATCAATGATTGCAATGTCTCTATATTACCCTCTTCAAAAATAAATAGATTCATCAATGTCATCAATGCCAATATGCAGCCCTTCACCAAGAAATCAAGCCCATAACGAGAACTTAATGATAGCAGGCCTAAAAAATGCAGAAGCATCATCATGGACTCTTTGTGCCGTATCGGGTGACTTTCCATCATGTCATATAGTGACTTTTGGATTGGTAAACAGATGTTAAATTGTTGAAAACAACTGATAATACCCACTATAGAATCATATTCTTTGCATGAAGAGAAGTTCTTTAAGGTTCTCGGACAACCCAGACTGCCACTATGCCTTAGGCACCAAATGGCTTGTAACAGGGAACTACTCATTAACTTCAATATAGAAGCAAGAAAACATATATCTTGTGGACTAGTATCCCCATTGGTAGTTAATGCAGTATCATTAGTGCCACCAGAAAGAGCTTCTAATATTATGAAGCTTAATATCGATAAAATCTCATCTCTGTATGATATGTCAAGAACAAACTGGATATCCTTCATGTATGCAATAGAGGAAGTTACCAAATCAGACTTTGTTCTCGAAAACATGTTGTAAATGTCTGAATGCCAAGAGGTATCTAACTTGGTGATTATGTGATTAACTTTGTTTCTTGTGACTTGCTGAATATAAGACTCAAATGATGGCTGAATGTTTTCCCCGAATATACTTGAATTCACAAAACAACCTCCAGCACCTGTAGGATGGCTATCCATTTGCAAACTAGACATGTGTTTCATGTACAAGATGACAGACCTTTCAAATGCTGATAGGTAGCAATCCATAAGTCTAAGGTCTGGTCTCATATTTTCAAAACCCATGCAAATACCAGTTGCTTCAGAAACCAATGAAATAAGATGTGCCTGGAAAAATTTTGGTGCAGAAAGCATGATAGGATTGAGAAGCATTGATATGGCTGCAGTTAGGCTTAGTTCCGAAGATCTATAATCCTTTCCATGCAGCAAAAATAATCTGTTGAGAAAATTTTCAAATGCTTGCTCATCAGAAAATGATAGGGAAAAATGAGCAGAGATCACCTCCATCACACTTCCAATATTACCATGACTATTGTGGCACATATATAGCATTTTATTAGGAGAATTAACAGAATCAATCAGCTTAAGATATTCTCTTAATCGTCCATGCACCAAAAGCTCATCTGCAAACACCTGAAGAGGACAAAAAAAAAAAGCTGCATTAATTTGAGCAAGGCTGCAATGAGTTAATACCTGACTGGAGAAGAAAGCACAAAAAAATAATAATAAACACCATAAAAAGGAATGTGACCAATATTTAAAATAATTATGAAACAAAACCAAACTCACTCTGCTAATGGGCAAAAACATCAAAATGCATGTCGTGCATCCTCTAAGTTTATCTAAAAATACAAGCAAGATATGATACAGAGTGCCCCTTGATGGCAAATTCGATATGAATAGTGACCTTGAATTTTTAATAGGTTTTCAAGGATCATTTTGTTACGTTAACAAATATAAGTATAGAAATATGTTTTGTAAATAATTTTGTACCTTTTGTTCTTTTTGATAAGTTAAATAATTTTGTACTGCTATACAGCAGTATCCACAAAAAAGCGAGATACTCTTGTATTGTCAATCAGCAAAATGATTTGCATCTAAAAACCAAAAACATCATTTTTGAAAATGTAATTAAACAATATTAGTTAATTTAGGGAGGTCAACATTATGGGGGAGGGGGGGTTGAGTACCAACTCGGAAAAAAAAAAAAAAGTCATAAAAGTAATGACTTTTTCATTTTTTAAGTTGTTCTAGCATGTGGCAATACGAGACATAGCCAATTATATTTCATATACAAACGAAAATATATTGCCTCGGAAACACCAAATCCGATCACCAAAAACAAAGAGAAAAATGACATGGTTGATATAAAATTGCAAGCCAAATGCATCATGTAAAATTTTCTATGAGCATTAACAAATATTTAATTAAACACAGCTGCAAAATCAACTCGCGGCCGCGGAGAGGGGGGGGGGGGGGGGGGGGGGCGGCTTGTGTAATTGTATAAATGTCTACGTCAATAGATGTATGATTCAACTTAAGTTTCCCTTCTCTAACAATTGACATCACAATCATATTTCTTCTTGGTAAAATGCTGTGAAATCAGAGTTCAAATGAATAAGAAAATTTGGAATTGTTAGATTACCTCAAGCATTGTGCACAGAAAAGGAAGGCATGGATCAGAAGGCTCTAAGAAACGCAAAGAAGCAACAAAGTCTTCTGCAAATGAGGTAGTAGAATCATTAAAAACAAATGTGTATTCACGAGAAACTACCTTCTCAAAGGCGACAGTATTTTTTTCATTTCCTGTATTAAAATCCAGTGAACATAATTTTCTGAGCATCACCAGAAGAACTTGCCCATTTTTCAAAAGAAGATGTTGTTCAGGCCCAAGCAAGTTCAAGATGGCCATACAACATCTTACCAGCAAATTTAATACTTCAGCAGCAGCCCATGTATCTGAAAGCAAGCTAGCTTGTCCACTGGCTTGACTTGCAGAAACATCAAGTAAAACAGAGAAAAACAGTTCAAACCTCGTTACGAGTCCTTCAAACAGTATATCAGAGAGACTACCTATGTCTTTAAATGTTACCCTGATCTGACAATTATCAATTTCCATCTCCGAGTAATTTGAATCAGCTCCATATTTTAAAGGTTTTGAAGACAAATGAACGAGCAGATAATATAAACCTTTTAGTAGTGGTGGCTTAAAACCCTGAAACACGGCAATGTTAAAAATCAAATCAAATTTATTAGAATAGAGAACCCCACTTAGAACATAATGATATAAGGACACGTTCGTGAGAATAAATTTCACAGAAGATCCATCCAGACTTCGTATTGTTTCTAAGAGTTCCTTCACTGAATAATAGATTCACCAGAAATACATCCGCATCATATACTGATTGGCTGATGAATCTGATGATACTAGTTCCAATTTACAGAAATTATGAAGTACCTTTACTAAATTACTATTGCTTTGTTACTTATAAGAACCGAAGAACAACCATAAAGCATCAGGTATGCAAAGGCGTTTATATGTATTCAGAAACAGTTTTCTGTTTCCTGAATCCTGATTTCCTGCATTCTCTACAAGTAATTTCCTGCATTTTCTACCCAAAAAAAAAAAGGTGCATTTACTGCATTTTCTGTTTATTTGGAAAATTTGGCTATGTCCCCATTTATTTTCCAAAGCACAATTCCTCATTTGAAAATAAAATAAAATAAAATAAACATGGGTGATTCTTAGGAAACAGTGCAAAAATGATTTCCACACTTCATTTTTAACACAAATTTTTAAAATGAAATGCAAGAGATTATGCAAAAAGAGTTTGCTTCCTATAAAATCTCAACATACATATATAAACACATGAACATAGACATACCTATATAGGTGTTTAAATATATATAATTGTAAGTAACATACATATATATTTATAGACAAATATAGATAATTATAGAAATGGCACTTATTCAGCAAATACGTCAAGAAACCCTAGTCTTACCCACCACTCGCGGAGGAAAAGGAAAAAATAAAAAATTAAACAGAACAAAAAATTAAGTGCATGAGAGAGACGGGTACCTCAGGAGCTTTAATGGCGGATAGCAGGTTCTGGAAGATCGGTGAAGATGACGAATGCCCACAATCTAGGGTTTCATTTGATGATTTGGAACGCTTCTTTTTTGTCGAACCCATCTCTAAACACAACACTCACACAAACAACTCTGAGGCGCTGATCGGTTTGGACTTTGGACTTTGGAGTCTCCGGACTAGGGATTGTGCTTGGCAAATTGGCAATTAAAGCTTCAAAGTTTGGTGCTTTTTGGCGCTAATTCTAAGAGTGTGTTTGCCCTTTGGGTTGAAATGACTCAATTGAAAATTTATTAGGTGGTCTGGTCCAAGTGAACTAATTCAATGAAGTCTCTGAAACTTTGTAATTTATTAATTCATTTTTGTGGGGCAATTTTTTCAATTCAATTTAAGATTCTGTATTAAATTGGTCCGTCAACCATTAATGGTTCGGTACCATCTAATAATTTATAGACTCAAATAACCAAACTCAATATTCGAAAATAATCTGATAATATTGTCTAATAAAACTGAAAATTATCTAGGTTATAAAACAGCCCAAAGCGTTTTGTTCTTAACCTTTTATTTTAACTTGAAACAAAAGAAGTGTTTTTGTTATAGAATATTTTGAATAGTAATCGAAAACATGTTTGGTAATATTCATTTATTGTAATATTTTTTGAAGTAAAAATATGAAAACGTGTTTGGTAAGGCTGCGTTTAGTAACGAGAAACGTTTCTTGTTTTTTATTGTCAACCTCTAAAAAGGCAAAACGAAAAAAAAAAATCACGTTCAATAAAATGTTTTTGTTTTTCTATAACAAAAAACGTTTTCAATTTTTGTGAAGAAAATAGAAAACATCAAAATAATATTTCTTATGTTTTCGGTACGGTAGCACAGAAACATTTTTACTAATATTACTGCACATGCACTATTCATTTCAAATAAAGTTCATATTATTTGTGTTATATACTAAGTTGCATATTAAATGTTAATAAAAATATATATTATTAGTATAGAATATATTAAATATTGTATATTATTTTTTATTTGATAAAAATATATTTTAATATATAATATATTAAATAATAATGTAAATTATTTTTTGTGACAAAATAATTTTTGATATAGAATATAATGTTATTAAATTATTAAGTAGTAGATATCTTATATTATTATATATCATATCTGTAGTATATTATATGTAAATATTAAATTATAATTAATTTATAATATTATAACACAATATATATTTTATTACATATAAGATGTATTATTTAATATTTTTTATTCACAATAAATTATCGTATGCTAAATATATTATATATCACATAATAAATGTATACATCATGCATATACATGTATTTATATATATTTATGGCTTTTTGATATTAATGGAAGCAAATGTTGTGCCTGAGTGGTTGGGTTGCTCCCTGTATTCGAGAGTTCGTGTTCAAGTCATCTACCCTCCCCTTTAATCACTAACTCCTAAAATTCTTGTTATGAAAAATATAAAAAATATTATGTACATTTTGTAACAAATATGTTGTATTACTAAACACAGATATTGCTTTATGTTTTCAAATTTGTGGCAACAACAAATATTAATAAATATCATTTATGTTTTCAATTTTCACTCAATAAAGCAAAATCATGTTTCTGCTTTCTTAAAACTGTAAAAACATAAAAACGAAAACGTTATTAGACTCACCCTAAAAAAGTCTTGCAAATTTGAAAAATATAATGTTTAGTTTAGAGCCGGTTTGGTAAGCATTTTGTTTTTTGACGTTTTGTTTTAACCGGAAACGAAATAATTGTTTTATTGTATAGCATTTTAAATAGTAATCAAGAGTATGTTTATTAACGTCTATTTGTTGTAAGATTTTTTAAAGCAAAAATATGAAGGCATATTTAATAGCAAATAGCATGTTCCGGAAGATCGCTGAAGATGACGAATGCCCACAATCTAGGATTTCATTTGATGATTTGGAATGCTTTGCTTTTATTGAACCCATCTCTAGACACAACACTCACACAAACAACTCTGAGACGCTGATCGGTTTGGACTTCGGACTTTGGAGTCTCCGGAGTAGGGGTGGGGTTCTGCAAATTGTCAATTAACGCTTCAAATTTTGGTTCTTTTTCGCGCTAATTCTATAGCGCGTTTGACCTCTGGGTTGAAAATTTGAAATGACCAAGTAGGAAATTCGAAATTGTAATGCTGTTTGATAAAATTAAAAATTAAGGTTTTTTTTTTTATAATAATAATCTAAAACATGTTTAGGAATATCAGTGACTCTGTTATAATACTATTTTATCAGTTTTTTAATACTTTATTTTCCCTTTCCGTCACACTTGCTATTAGACTACAAATTACAAAATTAGTTTTAGATGTCTAGAGCTCAAAAAAAAAAAACGCCAAAATTCAAGTTTTAGTGGATTCATATAACTATTTGAGAAGTAAAGGTACTCGATACAATTGATAACTTGTGATGTTAATTGTCCTCAGGGCTTGGTAATGGTGATAAGGAAGAAGGTTGGGTTATAATATGTTTCGATTCAAACCCCAATACTCTCATTATGATTCTTGATTTAACGGTGTTATCGTTATAGAGCCGGTTACAGCACTCTCAATTTATAATTTGGGGTGAATCCAAAAGACCCTGCCGAGGAGAATTCTGAGTTTCAAAAAAAAAACCTTGTGACATTAATTGACCATAAATTTTGTACGGCCAAAGGCACAAATTAAGGGGTACCCACTTACTATTATGCCCATTTAACTTCATTGAATTTAGAATCTGAAACTAATTCATTGAAAAATCATATGTTTGAATCTCCATGAATCATAATTATAAAATTTTTGCAAGTATATATATTATATACCAAAAAAAAAAAAAAAAAATTGTTACATTGTAATTAATTATCCATTTTGCAAGAGAATGTATATATATATATATATATTAGTAATATGGTTCCTTGAAGAAGATGACATAAATGATGCAACAAATTGAAAATATAATGATGAAAATATCAAAGGTAAGAGCAGAAGCTGCTTGATCACTGAGCTCCAAGTTCCTTCCACCGAGACGATCCACCATGTCTGGGACAGACTCATAGTTCTCTAAATCCACCATGTATGGATCCTCCAACGTCATCTTCATCTTCTCAGCTTCGCGACTCGCGGCCTCCTGAGCAAGCGACCAGTCGTAGAACCTACGCCTCTCGTCATCACTCAGCACATCATAAACTTCTTTTAGTTTCATGAACTTGTCCGATGCTGCTTTCAGTGGGAGTGAAGTTGTGTCTGGATGATATTCTTTTGATAACCTCCGGTAAGCGGCTTTAATCTCCTCCAAATCAGCTTCTGCAGATATTCCTAAGAACCTGATCATCATCAGTATCAACTAGTTTTATCACTAACTGATCCATCAATTCTTGAAAAAAATGATTTACACATAAAGATAGAGAAGCCAATCCTTAGGAAGACTACCAGAAATTTGTCAATTGCCCCACCAGACACACACATTGGGTCGAAAGAGGGTTAACATGGTATCAGGTAAGGTTTTGAGTTTAAAATTATGTGTCACTGAAAACACATGTTGGACCAAAAGGTCATAAATGGATAGGTTAGAGGAACTAAAAATTAAAGTTACACTCGTCTAACGGATTAAAATTTTAAAGTAGATGGTGATTAACAATTTTTTATCCTTGTTATTGATCAAAGATGTTTTTTACCTTGTAATTCAATGAATAGCTGACCTAAATGGTTGTTAGTTCAACTTTTGACACAGAGAGATTACTTGATTATGGTAATTGGTTTAAATAACCCTTTGTCACAATTTTATCTAGGACCAATTAAGCATGATGTTAAGTGTTTATCTTATCTTCTGAAATTTGAAAACTGCCACATAAATTGAATAAAAATAATAATAAAAAAAAAGAGAAGAAAAGAGTATGTTTACATATTTTAGGTTCTGTTTGTTACATATTGAATATTTTTACCCTTTTTTTTTTTTTTTTTGGAAAGGAGTGAATTAAAATATCAATATCTCCTTATAATTTAACTGGTGGTTAATTTGGGCATAACTAGGAAAACTATTTTAGAAATAACATCCATCAACAAAGCAAACATAAGCCAAATCATAACAAGTGAAGAAAGTAGTGCTAGCAATTCCTGCCAATCTATAAATGCATATATAGAATTGAGAGTACTCACTGGTAGTGAGAATCAGATGAATTGTTAAGTAACTCAGAGAACTTTTCACCCAAAAAGTCCTGTTCCTCTTCTGCTTTAAGCTGCTCTTGTGTTGACTTACTACTACTACTACTGCTACTACTTCCCCCTATCCAACCTTCATCCTCACTCTCCCAGTGAATCCTTGTATCAACTCCGGGCTGCGGGGCTTTCTGTCTCCGGTCAGAGTCTTGCACCGCGAAAACTTGGAATCCAGTGTTTCTTTCCTTTTTTGTTACTGGCCATTGATCCTTCTTGTAATGGTGTTTGCCTTTTTGGCCTGTGAGTAAGAGAGAGAATGAAGCTTGAGGAGCTGTTGTTGAAGCCATGGGTGGGAAATTAAGGCAAATGGGTTGGTTTTGGAAGTTGACATACAGATGCTTTCACCACCACCTCCTCTTCTTTATGTGGTTGAGAATTGAGTTGGGGAGTGGGGCTTATGTGCAGAAGAGTTAAGCATGTAGTTTGTTTGTTTCTACTTTCTACATGTTGTGCACATATATATATATATATATATATATATATATATATATATATATATAACTATATGAGCATGCATGAAAGTTTGGGACTTATCACCATGACTACTGTGGCACATATATAGCATTTTACTAGGAGAATTAATAGAATCAATCAGCTTAAGATAGAGTCTCTTAATCGTCATATATATATATATAACTATATGAGCATGCATGAAAGTTTGGGACCTATCACCATGACTACTGTGGCACATATATAGCATTTTACTAGGAGAATTAATAGAATCAATCAGCTTAAGATAGTCTCTTAATCGTCATATATATATATAACTATATGAGCGTGCATGAAAGTTTGGGACCTATCACCATGACTACTGTGGCACATATATAGCATTTTACTAGGAGAATTAATAAAATCAATCAGCTTAAGATAGAGTCTCTTAATCGTCCATGCACCAAAAGCTCAATTTTTTAAAAGTTAAGAACACGATGTGATTATTATTAAGATCTTCAATTTTTTATAAACCATGTTTCCGCCAAGAGTCTTGGTTATTAAAGGACCTAAGATTGAAATCAATGACACACATCACTCTACACAAGAATTATATAGCATCTATGTATTGATTCATGTATCCGTTGAGTCGTTGACCAAGACAAAATTTGTATCATAAACTTTAGTCATATTATTAAGGATAATGCTTGGGTCTAATCCAGGATTTATGTACGATGAACTTCATCTAACCTGCTGACGTGACTCAATAGATTTAAAATAAATGTCCAAAAATAAAAATTAGGGTTGAGATATTACCCAACTATTCTGGTTTAACCCATTATTGTGATATTTTACTTTTCCTTTTTGCTTCTAGCTTTTAGTGTAAATCATGCACTGACATTAAGAATTCAAGTATTAGAATCCAATCCCCCACTATAAGATATAGAATCCAATGCATGATCCCAGGTATAAAATAAAATTTGATACTACTTTAACATTCTGGCATTGAGATTTTTTTAAGGATTTTGCCTCTCTCTCTCTCTCTCTCTCTCTCTCTCTCTCTATATATATATATATATATATATATATATGTGTGAAAGGCAAAAGGAGAAAGTTAGGGCATTGTTGTGTGTGTGTGTGTGTTTTTTTTTTTTTTTGCCGGGGGGGGGGGGGGGGGGGGGCGGGGCTGGGGGTAGCAAAGGAAGTATGTTTTTAAGTTAGAGTAATGAGTTAAACCCGAATAGTTGGACAATATCACCTAATCATGACTTTTATTTTTAAACGCTTATTTTAAATTTATTGATTCACATAAATCTGGACCCAAAACATTGTCCTTCGTAAAAAGCATTAATGAGGATTTGCATTTGTTTTTACAAAATTATAGTCTTTAGAGCCAATTTAGTAACAGGAATGATTCCTGATTTTTACTGTCAATTCTTAAAATTGAGAAGTAAAATTAAAAATCATGTTCGATAAAATATTTTATGTTTTTGACTTCAAGAAGTACTTTCTCTTTTAATGAAGAAAAGAGAAAGTAACAATTTGATATTTTCTTTATTTTCTCCACGGTAGACGGGAATTACTTTCTCCACTATTATCCCACCAAAATTACTGTACTACCCCTCTTTCTTCCACTAACCCATCATCCTCTCCTATCACCAAGACCCACGCCACAACCACTGCAAGTTTGGAATCGGCTGATCAGTGACCGGCGACGGAGAGGACACCAGCTCCTCTCTCTTCTTCTCTCTACCACCAGAAACCGCCGTTGATCATCCATTGAAGACTGAAACCTCGTCCTCCTACTGTTGACCCATCATCTCATCATCCCGATTTCTTCCAATTTCAGACAACTAGGCCTCAATTTCATCGAATCGTTGGACTGATGTAGGATTTTGACTGACGATTTCCTCTATCAAACTTCTCTATTTATCTCTTTTCAACCACGTCAACTACTTCTTGATTCCGGCGTTGTCGTTGCCGGAAAAGAAGAGAGGCCACAACTTTAGGACAAGAGATTATTCAACCAAAAGAAGGTGACGGACGACCAAAAATTGATGATAATTACATCATCTACAACAAGGGTCTGTTTACAGAGCCCACCTCTTCTACTGTGTGCTTGTCAAAGAATCGAGATGACATTGATATGTATGGAGGAATAGATGAGCTCTTTAATCTTTATCAGGTTCTTCTTTGAAGTCATAGTTTCATGCCCTCACTTTTTCTATGCTTGTGTTGCTAAATTTATGCTTGCTTAGTTCGCCATTAAGGAAGCCAAACAATTATCATCAAATCTAGATACCCTTTTTAGAGAGAGAAAGATACCACGAAAACAAAAATAAATTTATAATTTATTAAAGTTACTTTCTATTTTTTTACTTTCAAAATGTTGAAAGTAGAAAAAATTATTGAACATGATTTTACTTTTTATTTTATTTTAAGAAATTAAAATTAAAATTTTATTTTAGAGAAAGTAAAAATAAGAAAGTGAAATTGTTAAAAAGTAACGAATCTTCGTGTGTTTTTTTTTTTTCACGCTACCTTTTTGGATAAGGTTGAGATGGCAAATATTTACTGTTTTGTTTGCGACATCATAACTGTCCAAAATCTAAATCCATTTCAAGGTGCGTTTAATCTCAAACTTCACAATCCATCAAATAATGACATGGAGCCTTGTTTGTTAAAAAGTGACAGGTTTGTTAAGTAATAATATTTGAGAATCGGATAAATATTTTTTTTTTATCATAAATGTCGGCTAAAGTTTACTTCCTTGCACTACTTTTTACTAGTTAATTTCAAAATAAATTGAATCCCATTTATGGTAAATCATGTTCAATCTAGAAATTATGAATTTTAATACAAATCATAAAATTGAAATACGAACTTAGATTTACACGAATCCTCTTCCGACACAATTTTGCATATTTTTTCAAGTCATTTAAACCCGTTTATTAATGATACTAATTTTCAAAATTTTTAAAAATATTTTTAATTTTTTTAAACAGTTCTTCTTATGGGATGATCATCTACCATACCAGCTATAACAAAGGTCATTTGTCTCACATCAAATCCGGATAGAAAAATGATTGAAAATAATAGTTGGGTATATAATATTACCCAACAACTTAAACTTTTGGATAAATGGGTAAGCGTCCACCTGTTACCGTTAGTATCAGAGTTAGACCTAAACCTAGTCCTTGGTCCGGTGTCACACAAAGTGTTCGATCCGGAGGGCGTTTGGATTTGCAATGCGGGTAGGCAGGGTGGCCCGAACCGCAACAAGAGCGTTACGAGTTTAAGTGGGGAATAACGTAGTAAGGGTCATTAATCAGCCTTTACATTATAGAACATAGTCGAGCTCGAGTTCGTCGGATACCAAGGTCGGCCTTCTCTTTCTTAATCTTTGTTGCACAGAGAATCCTTTGTGTTGCTTGGATCTCCACTTGGATACTGATTTCAGATTTCTTAGCTTACATGGAACGATCTCCTCATCCTACTAAGAACCACCTTCAACATTTTGGCGACTCAGCTGGGTAGGGGCGTTTCACAGATGTCAAGCGTGCGCGAGATCAGCGTGCAAGAGATCAGTCCACGCTCTCAGACTAGCCCTGACCTCGATGAGGGTTATAGAGGTCTGTAAGTATGCTTGGATCATACTTCCCCAGAACTAGAATCATTTATCTTGATGCCCTAGTCGAAGACCATAACGCGTTGTCATACAGAATGGAGCAGCTTGAGGGCATTCAGAAGAAAGTAGTGACCTTACTTCGGGAAATTGTTGACAGAGAAGAACCTCGGCTAGACGCGAGACTGAACGACGATTTCTTTGACGGACCCACTGGGGGACGGGTGACCCCAGACGATTCTGCGTGATGTGCGCCCCTGTCATCAATCGAGGTAAGACATTCCACTGGCCGACACAAGCGGCAGCAGGATACGCCACCGCATGCTCGCCGAGCCCTCTTCAGCATACCTTTCACAGCACCGGCCAGACTGAGCACGCCGAGCACCAGTCGAAGAGAGGTAGTCCGCAGGGGCAGAAGCTCGGAGGAGTTCAGGGGTCGGCAGGATTTGACTCAGCAGTCGTCTTATGTAACATTGGCGGACCTGCAAACGTTGTTACAGAACGAGAGGAGCATTCCGACTCAGGAGTTCGCTCCCGAGCCACCCTATGCGCAGTCTATTGCGCTCCTTCATATCTTCGGGGTATGTGGCTCCTAAATTCAGTAAGTTTGATGGGAGGAAGGGTAATCCGCGCGAGCATGTGGTGTGATTTATAGAGGCCTTGGGACCTTTTGGAAATGATCACACTGTGCGTATAATACCCCCGGATTTTCGGATGCGGGTTGGCCAGGCCCACGCCCGATTACCCGATGATATCAAACCAATCAGCAATAATCGAACACAGAGTATAAAAGAATAAATAGGAATAAATAATTTACTAAAAGAAAACTAAAATAATAATCCAAAACTAAAACTCAGAATAAATTTCCATTAATAAATAGTTCTGATACAAGTAATCCTCCAAATATACAACTCGGGAATCTATACTATGTGGACCCCTGGAAAACCAAAACTAAAATAATCAACTGTTTACAATAATATACTAAATCATAAAGGAAACTCCTATGGAGACAATCCGGAAGGATGATCCCTGCTCAGCACGAACAATCCCTACATCTGACGAACACCTAAAAAATAATGGCGGGTCAGGCCCACAAACAAGTTCTACTCTACTACAATCCAAGCAGAGATCTGATACGCAGATAAATCTTAGACAACTCAACAATAACTATTTAGTCCATAAATATATATATATCCACACTAAGGACATTCACTGGACTACAAAGGGATTTCAACCTGAATAGAAGGTAACATGCGAAAATGCACCCGAAGGTGGGTACGAGTACGTAA